GTGGTTTCTCTCGTATTCTCGTTTGTTGTGCATTTGAGCTCGAGGTTAAGCCAGGCGAAAAGTTCGGGTCTACTCTTATCGAATCGGTATCAAAAAGCCGCAAGGTAAACAACTCGAAAGCTGAGAGCAATTGGTTTAAGTGCTTGAGAACCGGAAATCCGAACGCAGGTCGCCTAATGGAAAGCAATTAGAGAAAATCTAAGCCCATGTGCAAACACAGCCTCTTGGGCAAAACCACCTTTGACCCCTTTGCCACAGGCAAACGGATGACCCGCAAAGATTTTTAATTGCCCAAGAACCTTTTCTTATCCTGCAATAGATCGGCATTAATGTATCTATTAGTATTGCGTTTGGCATTGTTCGTGTCAAAGTTTGTCGTGCAAACAACATTTACATACGCAATCGTAAAGGACAACAAAGGACAACCCTTTCCTCTGCCTTTCCCTCTCTCTCAGCCTCCGCCTCTGTCTGTGCAACTCTTTCACATGCAAATGCGTATCGATTGAATCGTTTGATCCTGCGGTTTAGCTAGCCAAAATTCGTTTACCCTTAAACGGCAGCAGAAACCATTCAAGGATCATTCGAAGATCCTTTGTGGTGAGTGGGCGTCTACCTTGGAATTCCCTCATACCTTATATCTAATATCTCTTATACAAAATCTTGATTCTGTGCTTATATAAATTATGATATAAACAGAAGCAACAAAAGATCCCTTATCAATTCATCGATTCATCAACTCATATTGATCAGATCTCTTATGTTTGATTACAAAAAAAAAAATACAAAAGAAATAACTCAAGAATAGTCCATGATATTCCGCCCATGTCTATGGGATCCAGAGGCTCTCAACTTTCAGATGTTATACTTATTTAAAGTCTTATACAAATGCGATCTTATACTCACACAAAACACGGTCTTTAATCATAAGCTATATAAGAACATATAGATAGAACATTTACAAAATCCAAATAAGATGTGGCTAAAAGACAAACAAATCAGAAACAAGTTCTGATACTTATACTAGATGTTATAAACATGATATATGATCTACATAAGACAGGACCCAATATACATGAGGAAGACTTTTGTTTTTATAGCAGATTTTACTTTATTTCATTGAATTATAGCATATTATATTCTCAGATTTTAAAGGCTTTACTTTAAGCTTTGCTTACTATAGATTTTGTATTATTATACAAATTTCCCATTTGTCAAATCATATATCATTTGGTTATGTATAAGACATAGTATAAGTGTATCATTTGGCTATGCATAAGACCTAGTACATACTTATTCAGGTCATATACATATATTATTTGGCTATGTATAAGATCTGTTACTTATATACTAATGATATATGATCCACCAAATGATATATGTATAAGACCTAGTATAAGCAGATATACATGGTCTAAAAAAAAACTATTCTCAAATCCATGAAATGACGAGAGCAAGAACAAAGGCCATTTCACTCTTATACCTTTATATAATGCTTTGAAAGGACTTTGTTCTATCTCAAATGCTTAAGCAATAGATCTTACGAAAAGGCACAGGATCTCAAATATTTCTAATAGCAACAAGATCTTATTGAAAGCCAAAGAACGAAACGACAAGGTTTCAGTATTCTTGTCTCCAGCTAGTCAAATCCCCGGTCTGAGGTCGGACGAGCAAGCCAAAAAAGAATTAATAAAACCAGAAAAAAAGGGAAAACTGAATGAAAATCCAATTTCACACGTTGCTCGCTCGCATTTCGGACAGAAGCAGAGCGGCACAGGACGAGCCACGACAGGCCAGGACGGGACAGGATAGGACAGGACACACTCAATCAAGACAAACCAAATCCCAAGGACAAATTCCCACTTTGGCGCGCAAAAACCCGAAACCCAGCCCGAGACCGAGCAAGCAAAGATGTCCCGAAAAAAAATGAAAATACAAAACCAAGACGCGACAAGGTGAGCTGAGCTAAGGTAAGGCCAGAGAGGGAGGGAGAGAGGGAGAGGGAGCATTCAGGACATGGCACGAATAATGCGCACACGTCACATTGATTAATCGTCTCGTCCTCGCTGCGCCCTCTCTCTCTCTCTCTCTCTCTCTCTCTTTCTCTCTCGCTCTCGCAATCAGATCCTTTGACAAATACAAATAGTTGGCAAAATGAGAATTCCAAGAGCTGCGCGCTCTGGAACTTATCGCGCACGTCGCTTGGGATTAGTGCGCTTTCTTTGCCTCCCCTTGTTCCTTGTTCCATTTGGTCCTTTGGCCCTCTTGCTATCCCCGCGCCTGCTCCATTTATTGACAGTCGCAATTGCCTTACCTTGCCATTGACATTGATTGAGTTGCGCGCCGCCAGACGCAACTTTAACTCTGGCCAGCTGCTCCGATCAGGATCTGTGCCAAAATTTAAAAGCGGAACTGCTTTTATTTTATATATTAAATATTTATACAGTTTATATATTAGTTAATTCGTCTTGGCCCCTTGACTAGATCTACATGCCCCGCTCCTCCTGCTTGGCTATTTCCGGCACTTAACCCATTTCGGGTTCTGCAACTGGCGGCCACTTGAACCAATTGCCAGACACTTGAGACCTTGCCACGCCTCGCATTGCGTTGGTGTTGCAAATGCACGCCACGTGCCAAGGAGCCTCACACACACACACACACACACGCACACACACCCTCACACGCGACGACAGCTGTCCCCTGAGTTCGTTTCATTTTTTGTTGTACCCTGCACTTAAAGTGAACGTGCAAATGGGGTATATTAAAGGTAAGGTATATATTCTTGATCACAGCCAGAAACTTTAAAAACTGTTCCAAACTGAGAATAAGTTAGGTTTTTCAATAACTCCCCTTGTTAGCCCAAAATCGATATATATCGAATTTCAGCATATATATTTTGGACATGTCTCCGAGTCTAACAGAGTTGGAAAAAGTTTAGGCTTAGGCATAGGGTATAGGGTATATCTATAAGTAACCTTTTCGATAACTTCCCACCTTTGCTTGAAATCGATACAAATCGATAGCTGTAGATTTTTACAAATGCATTTTTGAGACTATATGTATTTTATGTAGAATAAGTAAAAAGCCTTTTTTCTCTAATTTTTAGCATATTCGAAAAATCGATATATATCGATATTCTGCACACATACTTAATTTATGAATTTTTCAAATAAATCTCTTTTGATCATAAAAACATTAAATATCGATAAACAGCCAAGCGCAGTAAGCACACCTCGAGAATTTAAGCTGTTAGAGAGATCTTTTTTGGCATGTTTCCTCAAGTAGAAGTACAGGGTATCCGCTAGTCGGTCAGCCTATATTTATGCACTCCAATTTGTTTTCTTAGGTTCTTTTTTTTTTGCTTACTTCTCAGTTGCCCAATTTTTGGCGCAATTGTCGCAAGGTGTGCCGCACGCCGACGCAGCCGAGCTCTCGGGACGATCTCAAGGATCTGCGACTCTTATGTGACAAATCAGAGCAGGGGCCGCTCGTGCGCCCGGCAGCTGCGCCGAGCAAAACTCAATTGAGCGCATTGCAACAATGGACGAGCAGCAGCAGCAGCAGCAGCAGTCGGGACAATGGCAAAGGTCTGGGCATATTTACTTAAAGGCATTTAATAGACATTAAAGGAGAGCCTTTTGCCCAGCTAACGACCCACGCATTGCACATTGATCCTGCGACTGAATCCTGTGCAGCTGTTTGCTGGCGTCAACAATTTTCCATATGCCTTTTGCATAACTTGGTTCTGGCTGGCTGCCCCACGGGCTGTAACAAGGCCCTAACAAGCCGCAGGACAACCTATGCTACCCACAAGTACTGCACCATATATATCCAGCTAGGCATGTCCTTAAAACCATATACAACAAAACATTTGTACTTGGTCTATGCAAATTTATGCAAATTGTAGCTACTACGCGAGGGGGCGGGGCAGAAGGTGCACCCGCCCAAGCGCTACCGAGCACTACCGGGCATTGCCGGGTATCCGCAGCGCCTGCTGCGCCGCACAGGTGTGTGATAAATGCCATGTAAATGCCTGGACAGGATATGCGCTGTATATAACATATATACGCAGCATATTCACGCATTTCACATAGCTGAGCAACAACTGGCAAACAGAGGGTAGTTCAACGACTTCTCCTGCCGTGCCTTACCGTACCCGCCCCTTTGCACAACAACAAACTTGATATGAATACAAATTAAGATTTGAGTGCTACAAATAGTTCATGTTAAAACCGTTTTTAAGTATTTCCATATACACATAAACTTATCTGGGCTTATATGCTGTACATAACCTCCAAAATGAACCAGGAGAACTGCAAAAGAGTTAAGTTACAAGCTATTTACTTTTGACTCTTTGATATTTTACGTTATTGGAGATATTCTAAGCGGATCGATAGCAGTTAAGAGATATTCCTCTAGTATACCAGAAAGATCAGACTGCAATATCCTACAGCTGTCTATGTTATCTCAGCTCTCGGTAAAGATATCGATATGAAATTCGCTACAGATGCTTCTTTTGCCCCAAATTAGAATATAAGTTAAGATCGTCCGGATCGTACCACTATATCAGATGGTCGCCATAGTAACGATCTCTCCAGAAATGAAACATTTCTTAACGAAACTTGGAAATTGCTAGGTTAACTATCTCCCAGCTCATTTGCCAAACTTCATGAAAATCAGACTGCAATATCTTATAACTGTCTATGTTAACTCAGCTCCCAGTGAAGCTATCGATATGAAATTTGCTACAGATGCTGCTCTTAGCTCAAAATAGTATATATGTCGAGGTCGGCTAAATCGGTGCACTATATCATATAGCTGGCATGGTAATAATCCCTCCAAATATGCGTAATAACAATATCTTATTTCTTTCTCCTCATGTCTGTCTCTCTCTCTCTCTCTCTCCCTCTCTCTCTTCTCCCGCTCTCTCCCCCTCTCGGCCGTTTCTTTGCGGAAATTGTTCTGCAAAATCCGAATTAATTCCCCAAAAAAAGATAATAAAATTAAACTTTTACAATCTTGGCAATTTTATTACGACAAAAAAAATGTGATTATAATTTAATTTGGTAGATCTTAAATTGGAATGTCAGCTTGAAGAAGGCAATTGAAAGCTTTTAGCAACAATTTTGCTAAATTCAAAAACTAATCAAAAAAAAAAAAATTCAACTCTCAAATTTCTTCACGTAACAAATAACGAAAAAAAAAAATTGGTAAAAATTATTTCGACAGCCAAATATTAGTTGAATTTGAATTTCGCGCGAAACCCGTTTTTACTGCTCCTCGTGAAAGGAGAAGCTGAGCCGCCGCTTGGTCGCCGCCTCCAGCACGCAGGCCCCAAAGGAGGCGAGCTCCTCCTCCAGCTCGCAGTCGCTGGTGGAATTGTGTCCGCTGTCGGGGCTGATGTGCCGCTGCTTGGCGCGGGATTGGGAGTGGGGCAGCTTCTGGGCGGAGCGCGAGGCGGCCGCCAGCAGCTTCTGCGCCGATTGGCGCACGCTCGACGAGATCTTCGTCGCGATCTGCCGCTTGCGTCGCACCACGCGCTGCCTCCTCAGCTGCAGAGAACGCCGCTTGCCCTGCCCCCCTCCACCTCCCCCTCCCAGTTCCAGCTCCAGTCCAGATCCCGACTGGGAGAGCGGCTGTGGGGAGCACACTTCCCGCTCCTCGTAGGCATCCGGATGCACAGGTGGCTGCCAGTACTCGGACAGATCGCTGGCCGGATCGAAGGCGGGTCGATAGGTGGGCGAGTGGCTCGTCGAGATGAGACGCTGTCCAGGCTGAAGCTGAGGCTGAGGCTGCGGCCTCTGACGTTGCCGCTGGCGCAGACGGGAATGGCAACGGGATCGGGCACGGACACGAGCTGGCGGCTTGCGCGTGCTCTCCAGAATGGCATCGATCATGCGTTCCAAGGTGACATCGCCCATTTGGCTGGAGCTGAGCGTCGTCTGCTCAGCACTGGGAACGGAAGCAGCAGGAGCAGGAGAAGCAGGGGGAGCAGCTCCCACTTGGTCAAGGGAAAGTGGCTTCTGTTCCAGGTAGCGCGGCTTCTCGAAGTAGCTGTCCGGAATACCCATGCCGCGCAGCGCCAGCAGCGCTCCTGGAAAGATGACGTTGTTGTTGTTGTTGTTCTCCCCATCCTGGTCGACCCTGTAGCTGGGCGAGTACTCCGCCTCGAACGTAGGCAGCGTGGAGGCATAGACAGCGGGCTTCGCCTTGGCCGTGGGCGTGGGCGTGGGCATGGCCGTGTTAATGGGCGTGTGGAGAGGCGACATGATGTTGCTCAGATCCCGGAGCAGAGGAGTGCGTGCTCCAACTCCAGCTGCGGGCAGCGGCGTCGAAGTCAATTGATTCTCCTTGCCCAGGTGGAGGAGGCCCGGCAGCAGCGATTGCCGCTTCAGCTTGAGCCGCTGCGTCGGGAGGGCGGCTGTGCGCATGGGCGTGGCTGCCGCCTGGAAGTCGCTGTAGCTGCTGATGACATGATGGACTGTGCCTGTGCCCGGATCTGTGCCCGCGACTGGCTGCTCGGCCAGGTAGGAAGGGCGCGGCTGGTTCACAGCCCACTTGAGCATGTTGGCAGCTGTTGCAAGAGTCTGAAAGTAGCAAGAGAATCGAGTTAAAGATGCGCAGGATCGGGATCTGGCTAGTTAGGCCTGAATTGCCATTGTCTGCCGGCAACAAAGCAAATGTATTTAAAAAAAAAAAGGGATTGCAAGAAACAGGCGCAACTAGTTTCCTTTTCGCAAGGATTTCAAATTCGCACTCGCTGCGGCAGCTTTTGCCGGCAACAATTGAAAGCTGCTGCCGTGCAACAAAGGAAGGCGCGCAAAAAGCTTAAAGAAAAAAAAAACAGGAAAAATAGAAAGAGTAGATGCCACAGCCAGCTGCGCCTCCCGATTTGGCCTCTATTTTGGGTGGTTCGAAAATGGAAAATGGTTGCCCTTCCCTTTGGCACACTCGCTGCCCATTTCGCCATTTGGCATTTAAATGTGGCTCAAGTGGAACGAAGCACTCGAGAATGCGCGAGAGCATTTTGCGCATTTGGCCGCCTCGTTTTGCGCTCAAGCGCACTTCAGATGGGCCACAAAAATAATATAAATGAAAATATCGTATGAAAAAAAAAACTGGATAGTACAGCTTCATTTGGCACGCCGAACATCAAATGTTCTTTCAGTATAATCTGTTTCCTACACGATACAGTTGAGCTATTCCTCCAACCTCGACATATATAGTCATATGAGCATTGATAAGCATATATCCCAAATTTCATGAAGATACCTTCACTGGGCGCCGAGTTCTCATACGCAGCTATGTGACATAACTGTTTTCCATATAAAAACTGCAATGTTAACCAATTGTTTCTATGAGAACTATATGTTATAGTAGTCCGATGCTGGCGAACTCTTAATATATATGGCTTTGGGCTACAACTAGCATATGTACAAAATTTCGAGAAGATATATTCACTGGGAGCTGAGTTCTCATAGGCAGCTCTATGATATAGGACTCGAATATTTTGCAGATATGTTGGGGGAGTAGAAAAGCGCATAAAATCGAAGTTTGAATGGGATATTGCAAAAAACAAGCAAGTTACTAATAGAAAAACTTGCTTTTTAAGCGATTTTCTCTATTATAACTATATGATATACATATATATATAACTAAAATAGGGATTACTGCCTTATTTTTTAAGGGATACATGCATATAGAAAAAGACTGTCGAATGACTCTCCTGTTGCTGCTGATCAGGTATATATATATATATATATATATATACTCTATAGGCTCGGATTTATCGGCTAACATATTTCGCGACAGAATTGACATACCCTCTGGCAGGGTATCAGAGGCAAGCCCGAAAGCTTTAACCCAAACGTGACGCACGCGCACAATTTCGAATGCATTTCATATAAGGAGCAGGAGTCGGAAACGATGATTTTGAAATGGGGTGTTTTATAATTAAATTTCTCACAGAACACTTGAGGGTCGAGGGCTGGCTGATTTTCCATATTTAATGCATTTTTAATAGCTAATCGCAATGCACTTGTCTCCTTATCTTTTACCTTTTTACGTTTTCGGGGGTAGCTTGTTTTTATCCAAAAACTAAATTTTCACACGACAAAAAAACAAAGAACCAAAAAAAAAAACACGCCGTTTAAATAATCCAAAAAAATCCGTAAAGTGCAAGAGGCAACAAAAAATAAATTGTGAATATTCTCGCGCCTTGAACGTACGAAACGAAACGGAACGGAACGGCACGTCCTGTCAGAGGCGCAGACGCAATGTGACTGATTCTCGCCAGGCACGTCATGTTGCGTGCTCAGCTCTGCTTGCAGCCAGCCATTGACAGGCAACCAACCAACCAACCACCAACAGCTTGCGCTCTCTCTTGCGCGCTCGCTCTCTCGCTCTCCTCGTTCTTATGCCAATTTACATGCAATTGTTTTGCTTGTATGGGTATTTAGGCTGATGGAATTTGTGCGAGAGCGCGCCAAAAAGAACGAAAGGAAAGAACAACAAATGAGCGCACAGCAGAGAGCGCTGCCGGCGCAGCAGATTGAAATTGAAATCAATTCAATTTGATTGAAAGACATTCTTTATTGACTAATTGATTTGGCATGCGACTAAGATTTAAATAAGCGCAGCACAAACATAAGAAAGTTCTATTAAAAATTGAAAGTTAAAATAATTATTAAATACAATCGATTCCAGGTTTGTTGACGAACCAGCTTTTTCTAACCATTATATGTCATCGTAAGATCGCTCAATAAATAAGTTTTATGCGAATAACTTATTTCTTTTCTGAGATATCTTAACGGAATTGAACAATTGCGCGCATAACTATTCTCCAAACATGTCTGCAAAATCTTTCGAGCATCCAAGTGCTATATCACATAGCCGCCTATGTGAACTCAGCTTCCAGAGTAGGTATCTACACGATTTTTGGTACAGATGTTACTTTAAGCTCTAAGCAATATATATATCGAGTTTGAGCAGATCGAGACACTGAATATAGGGAAAATAACTAATAGCAATCCAGGGCTATGCTGTCAAATGCTTTCCTTTGCTGGGAGTAGACACATGTGAATTTAGTTCAGTCGCCAGTACACATTCTAATTATCTAGTCTCGTGTAGCAGAACATTTTTGAAAAAATATTAAGAAATGATGGATTTTCGAAAAAATCTTCTTGCCACGACAAATCTGTTCGTAATCGCGCTAACCTTTGTCATATTCACCGTGATGGAGGATAAGATTAGTTACCTGGTCCTGGACGCAGCCTATCAGCTCCAAAAGAATCCGGCCAGCCAGGTGCTCAACGATGGGGAGAGGCTGTTGAACCTGTGGCTCCTCATGTGCACCGTTTGCGTGGGCACCTTCTGGCTGATGCGGGAGCAGTTGACCATCGATTTCAATGGGCTGATCCTGCAGCAGCGCGAGGCCGAGGATATGCTCAGCATGCAGATACACGTCCTGGCGAACATGGGACCCAGGGTCGTCAATTTGGAAGAACGATTGCAGGAAGCTGTCGAGCGATGCGCTATTGAGAACTGAGTGAGTCAATCGAATTGAACAGCGCATTCAATTTCAATTCAACTTTCAATACGTTGCAGGAATCAATTACACAAAACAATTAAATCATCAAGTGTTTTAATGTGCATTTAGTATTCCGAGTGGTTGAAACAAACAAATTTGAGTTTCGTTTTCATTTTTCAAGAAGTTTATTTACATTGTGACTATGCCTCATACACATCATTCAATTGAAACACATTTGAAACACGAAAGCTACAGCATTGCAGAGCCAACATTTCAATAAACCTATATATATTTTTTAATAAATCATTTATAATTCACATTCGAGTTTAAGATTCGATTTTATGGCATCGATTTTGGGCATAACTCGAAGATTATGAAACATAGAATATAAACAATATAAATATACAATCCTGTGTGTCATCTTTAGGCCTTGGGATTTTCATAAAGATGGGCTTATGAACATCGAAGTTATGTAAAAAAAAACATTTTGGTCTTTGTAACGGCAGCTGGTTTCAGGGTTTCTTCTGGGTATATCTGCTCTTCTTGTTTTAGGGCATCTTCAGACTTATTAACTATATTGGAATTGCGATATTTGTATCCACGACTTAAATGAAAAAGGTTCTGATGTTGATTCTCTGTAATTCTTAAATCCTATTTAGATAATTCGTGAGACTCCCAGGTTTCCAATACCTATGAAATAATTATCAAGGTGAATTCGTCAATCTGAATTATTAATAGAATAATCGGAAAATATATAGAATTTGAAATATCTGAAATGCAAAAATCGAAAGAAATAGAGTAGTTTCTTAAACTACCAAAGGGGTTAATTTTCGCCTGGTATAGTCCAATCCATCTATGTTCCCTTGAGTCTAGATTATGTGGAACAAAAAGTCAGCTAACTAAGATAATATAACAATTATTCAATATCTAGGTTTAATATATCTTTTATATTTCGGACTTCTAGACAGTCTTACGGTAGTTAATCTAGTTGATTAATAACAGAAGTTTCATCTGGTTTCAACCAACTAACCCCAGCTAGAGCTTATTCTATTGGATTCGGGTAATGCTTCTCAGATAAGTTAGTCCGACTAACCAAGTTGTCTATGGATAGTTGGCTACAGCAAATGATATGAGGTACTCAGATATAGGAATTGAGTATCGCTGAGAGTTTCCAGCTGATGGGCGAGGAGCCTAATCCCACACAGCTGCTCGGGCTGGCGGGGCAGTCGGGCCTGGCGCTATCATATGATATAAGATTAGCTGCCTCCCCGTCCCTTGCCTATGCTTGTACTTTATCTTGATGTCCTTGCTGGGTCTGTCTGTGTGTGTGTGTGTGTGCGAGGGATAACGCCCGTTTGGGCAGGAGAAAAAATAACACACACACACACACACACATAGATAAATAAAGAAAAGAAATGGAAAGAAGGCGCACAACAACAACAACAACAAGAAGAAGAAGAAAAAAAAAACAAAGAAAAAAATGAAGAAAAGCGGTAGCAAATCTGAGCGTGAAGAATTTTCCCCATTTTTCGCAATTTTCAGCTATGAGAAATTGCGCAATTGTTGGGCAATTTATTAGCGGCAAAGCTGGGCCAGGCCAGATCCTGATCCTGCCCTAATTTATCTTCCCAGCGCGCATCTTCCCTCCCCTCTCCCTCTCTCCCTCTCTGTCTCTCTCTTAGGCAGGGGCGTTGTAGTGACCAATGCGTTAAATTGGCTTTGATTCAATGGCTGTCAGTGGAAGACAGAACAGATTATTGTTAAGATCCTTTCGCCTCTTTGTGGCAGCAGCTGCTCCTTGAGCGCAATCGAGAGACAGCGCCTGCTCGTATTATTGATTTATTCCCAGCTCTGCCTGCCTGTCGCCTCCTTGCATTTTTTGTCCACAATTCATTTATTGACCCATTCAGTTCAGCTGCGACCATTGCCCAAATCTAGACCAGCAGCTGGACATTTAAATAATAAGTATTTGAGACTCGAAATACTATCACATTCAGCTGGCCAGCTTCAGCTTAAGTTGAGCTCTGTAACAGGCAGCAGAAAGCTGACCCCATAAAGTACATATATATATATTCTTGATCAGCATCAATAGTCGAGTCGATCCAGCCATGTCCAGCCGTCTATCGGTCCGTCTGTTCGTTTGCCCGTCCGTCTCTCTGTCCATCTATCCGTCAGTCCTACATTTTATGAGATAGACTCACCATTTAGCTAGACATTTAGCTTCTGCAATAATTACAAATCAAGAATCTTTCATGTTAAAGCCAGCGCCGCGCTACTCTCTACCGCTCGTGCGAGCTGCATTTGAAGTTGTTAGAAGAAGGTTCAGGGTATCTGCTAGTCGAACATCTCTGACTAGAGCCCTCTTACTTTTACATAAATAAACTGATTCAAGCAGCTGCCAGGCGCATCGACGAAGCTTGAACTTGTTGCGAATTGCAAGCGTCTGGCACAGAAATAACGTAAAAATCCGTCAATTTTCTCACATTGCAATGGAAATTAAAGTATTCAGCAAAGTCAAGGCACACAAGAGAGACCACTTCATACCAAATTATTTGGAAAACAATCTCAGCTGGATAATACAATAGAGTATGATACGATTGTTGCTAAACATCCAATGCAATTGGCCAAGTGCCTCACGTGGTGGTCTTCGAATGCCGGAAATGCTGAGTTCCTGTTTGCAAGTGAAATCCTTTGCTCAAAATTGGTTGAATGCAACAAAATTTGGCCATAAATTCAAGAAAAATACTCTTACTCTCTCTTTCTCTTTTTTTTCTCGCTTTCTCCCCCTTTCTCTCTCGGCCAATTTCTTTTGAGCTGCTGCACAGCTGTCGCTTTGCTTTAATCTTAAGTCTAAAATTCTCGAGTTGCGCAAATCTCATAAATTTGCGCTTTAAACAAAAGTTGGCATCGACGTTGACGTCGACGTCGGCGTTGGCGTTGGCAGCGAGGCAGGAAAACCGGAATAGGAAATGCGGAAAACGGTGTGCGCTGCCCGAGCCCTTTAACCAATAAATTGCAAAACAATTGCACAATTTTCCACAACATTTTCCTTTGCCACACAGCAGCAGCAGCCGCTGTGACGCGAGCAGCGACGCGAGCAGCGGCAGCGGCGCTTGTCCCATAAACAATAAGCTAAATTGTACAAAGGTATTCGCTGTGCGTGTGTGTGTGTACGTGTCTGTGTGTGTTGTCCTTTTCTTGGCGAAAACTCAAGGTGAAAGGAGCCACACGCTGCGAGAAAGGTAATTGAAAATTATGTTTTGTGGCGTAAGCAGCGAGCGGGCAGCGGGCGGGCAGCGGGCAAACGAGCAGCAGCAGCAGCAGCTGGCAGCAGCTAAACACACACACACACACACATACAATCAAGCACACGCACACACAGCTCTTGTAATAAACTCTCCGAATAAACTCACGTATTGCATGTTTTGGCCAACTGTGGTTTTTCTTCGACCAACTGTTTTGACCACCGAATCGGAGCCTGTTTTTTTTTTTTTCTCTCTCAGAGGTATCTAGAACATTTCCTAAACAATATATCGGGAGTTTCTGCTAGTAGCAGTGATATACAAATTATATATATATATGTATGACATATGTTAAATGTTAACAGAATCACAGCGAATTGATACCCTGCCAGAGAGAACCTTTTGACTTTGTCAGAAGGTGTGCAAAACCTGGCCGAAGACATCTTCAAACCCAAATGGTGTACTTATTCCCCATCAGCAACAACACTCGAGCCTATATAGTCGATATTTATACGAGCTTTACATCTACCAATAAGCAGGTCTACTGAAATATATATAAACACACAGTATATATATGTGTATAATATATTCGAACGATATGCATAGGGTATTTAGATTTCGGCATGCCGAAACAAACTTTATTATCTTCTTGAATATCATTTAAATTTTCTTAAAATTCGAACATTTACAGAATAATAACATTAATTATGCCTCTTAACATATAAATAAATATTAGTATATACGTTCAAATAGTTGAAGCCCCCGCAAGCCCCCTTCAACTCTGTGTTGCCGCCCACCAGCTGCATATGTGGTTTACGTATTTCAGTTCAGTCGACGCTCTGCGCTGCTCTGCTCTCACGTTCAATGAATGCCTATGGACAGCCTTTGATTGAAACACTGTTGCAACTGCTGCTCTCTCAGCTGCACACGCACGCGCTCTCTGACTATGCGCGCCTGCCTCTGACTCTGGCTGTGCGAGTGAACGTGTGAGCGCGTGCGCTTGCTCACATACGCTCTCTCTTGGTCGCTCTCTCTTTCTGGCTGTGCGTCGACGCAACACGTTTTTGTGCTATGCAGCGCTCGCTGCCAGCGCTCACTCATTTAGTACCCAAACACGAGTCGGGCAGAGCACACGTCGACGCTCCGCTGCGTAAACGAATTCAAATACGAAATCGAGTTGAATTAAATAGATCGAAATAAAAGTGAAAAACTGAAACATATTTATTTATATTTTTTTACTTGTGCAAAATTCTTGTGAAAAGGTAAATGCAAGTGATTTAAATGGGATAACCAAAAGCAAAGTACGAAAGAATTTTATGAATAACACTCATACTCACAACTATTCACATGCATATTCACATGCATATTCAAACTTTTAATTGTGCATTTAATGAATATTTTCATATGCATTTTATGTCCAAATTCAAGACTTCTTAAAGGGTTGGTAGAGGGGCTAGCGTAGGAATGCCGGGAAGGGGAGGGGGGCTTGGTATTTAGCCGTAGGCCCTTTTACGCACACCCATGGGCTATTTAATTGCATGTGAAAGCTAAAGGGGGATTTTTGCCAACTGCCCGCTGCGGCATTTATTTAGTTGTTCTTGATTTCATTTTTGCTGCTTCACTGATTTTTTGGCCAGCCCAAAAAAAAACACACATAGCCCGGCCCTATAAGGGCATATATACATATATATGTATTGATGAGCATATATATATATGCATTGATGGGCATATATATGTTGCACGTCGCGGAATTGGCCGCCGAAAAGCGCGCCAAAAACTCGCCCGGCAACTTCGCGCTGCGCAGGAGGCGCAAACAAAAAGCCAAAAAGCTAAAAATACATTTTAAAAAAAAGACAACCAAAAACAATAAATAAGAACGGGTATAAGCGACTGCAACATGCCCTGTTCAAGGTAAAAGATAGGCTGTAAACAAATCGAATAACAATCGACTCTTCAGCTCCTCCTCCTTAGCCAACAAATAGCTAAAAATATAAGTAAAAGGCTTGCCCACTTGTGGGCGTGGCCACTACAATATTAACAACTTGTTTAATGCAGCTAAGCAGACGTGCAAGCCTATATACCCCATTGCCCTGCGTGAACAGGGTATAGGAACGCAGCGAGGGTCACACACACACACACACACAGACACCCAGCTGAATACTAAACCAACAACTTTGCACTTGCAGACACCCACAACAACAACAACAACAACAGCGAGTGGAAGAGGAAGCAGCAGAAGATGCTCAAGTGGGCTGTGAACCAGCCGCGCCCTTCCTACCTGGCCGAGCAGCCAGTCGCGGGCACAGATCCGGGCACAGGCACAGTCCATCATGTCATCAGCAGCTACAGCGACTTCCAGGCGGCAGCCACGCCCATGCGCACAGCCGCCCTCCCGACGCAGCGGCTCAAGCTGAAGCGGCAATCGCTGCTGCCGGGCCTCCTCCACCTGGGCAAGGAGAATCAATTGACTTCGACGCCGCTGCCCGCAGCTGGAGTTGGAGCACGCACTCCTCTGCTCCGAGATCTGAGCAACATCATGTCGCCTGTCCACACGCCCATTAACACGGCCATGCCCACGCCCACGGCCAAGGCGAAGCCCGCTGTCTATGCCTCCACGCTGCCCACCTTCGAGGCGGAGTACTCGCCCAGCTACAGGGTCGACCAGAATGGGGAGAACAACAACAACAACAACGTCATCTTTCCAGGAGCGCTGCTGGCGCTGCGCGGCATGGGCATTCCGGACAGCTACTTCGAGAAGCCGCGCTACCTGGAACAGAAGCCACTTTCCCTTGACCAAGTGGGAGCTGCTCCCCCTGCTTCTCCTGCTCCTGCTGCTTCTCTTCCCAGTGCTGAGCAGACGACGCTCAGCTCCAGCCAAATGGGCGATGTCACCTTGGAACGCATGATCGATGCCATTCTGGAGAGCACGCGCAAGCCGCCAGCTCGTGTCCGTGCCCGATCCCGTTGCCATTCCCGTCTGCGCCAGCGGCAACGTCAGAGGCCGCAGCCTCAGCCTCAGCTTCAGCCTGGACAGCGTCTCATCTCGACGAGCCACTCGCCCACCTATCGACCCGCCTTCGATCCGGCCAGCGATCTGTCCGAGTACTGGCAGCCACCTGTGCATCCGGATGCCTACGAGGAGCGGGAAGTGTGCTCCCCACAGCCGCTCTCCCAGTCGGGATCTGGACTGGAGCTGGAACTGGGAGGGGGAGGTGGAGGGGGGCAGGGCAAGCGGCGTTCTCTGCAGCTGAGGAGGCAGCGCGTGGTGCGACGCAAGCGGCAGATCGCGACGAAGATCTCGTCGAGCGTGCGCCAATCGGCGCAGAAGCTGCTGGCGGCCGCCTCGCGCTCCGCCCAGAAGCTGCCCCACTCCCAATCCCGCGCCAAGCAGCGGCACATCAGCCCCGACAGCGGACACAATTCCACCAGCGACTGCGAGCTGGAACTGGACGAGGAGAAGGATGAGAACCTGGCGCTGGGCAAGCCGCAGCTGGAGGGCATTTGGCTGCAGTCGGAGGCGCGGGATGCGACCAAGCGGCGTCTCAGCTTCTCGCTCAACGAGCAAAGCTAATCACATGAATGTTTTAAAATAGCTTAAATATTTTTTTTTCAAATATTTTTTTTGATTAATTTAAGAGTTTTTCCTGCTAAAAGAGTAAATAATTGAATTATGAAAATTATGGAAATTGTGTCGCTAAGTTTCTTAATTGACGGCTCCTCCGGACATTCCCACAGTCCCAACGAGTCCATCATAATTTTTATTGAAAAAAAAAGAAGAAAAAACCACAAAAGTGTCCCGAGCAAAACCAGCATTAAATGCAAAACAACCTCTTGAGATCCAGCGAAGCGTGGCCCATGCTTCGAGCCAAGACACGGGCCCAACCTTCCGACTTGGCAGACGACGCCCGCTTCCGAGGGCAAGTGTTTCCCACAGCGCCGGACTTAATGGGCGTTTTTATGCCCTGATAGCTACCAGTGGAAGAGCGAGAGAGAGAGAAAGCGAAAGAGAGAGAGAAAGCGAGAGTGAGAGAGAGACAGAGAGAGAGGGTGAGAAAAGTTAATAAAAGTTGATTACGTGCTCAGGCGAAATACTTCCTTGAACCAAACAGCTCGGGTAAGTTGAAGACTTTGTTTCAATTGAACTTAAATTCATATTTATTTGAATATTTAGAAAATCTTACTTTACAAAGATCCACTTTTTTAGCTGTAGGCCACGGGCTTGAGCCAGCTTTTTGCCAGCCAGGGATGCTATTTCCTACGAGGTCTCCTCTTCCGATTTTCATTTATTTGAGCATAACTCGAGGATTGAAAGAGGTAATAGGAGAAACCGCAAAGGTAGAAGCATGAATGCATTTTCCATAAATGGTCAGGGAGAAGGGAAAGAAAAAGTATAGAAAGATAGATAGATAGATATAAAGATAAATAGATGGATAGATAGATAGATAGATTTCGGTGTCGACAGCTCCTAGTCCTGCCTAGCTTGTTTTAAGAGGAATTTTTACCAGTTTTGCATGAAACAGAATCTTTTACTTTTACCATAGAACATCAGCATTAGGAACCTCAAGAGGCGAAAAACAACAGAGTCCTTGAGATGTTGTGCCCCATCGAGCACCCGCTGAGCTTACAGCTGAGCTGTCTCTTCAATTGGAATGAGAAAACACTGGAAAGTTTCCCACAGAGCAACAAATGGAAACCCCTTCGTTAGGAGCTGTTGTGGCCATGGCTCATTAGCTGGTCAAGTTCTGAAGTGCTCAGGCCCGAATATCTCTGTTCAATTGGGTATGGCATATATCTGGAGCAGATAGTCGATGCTCATTAGGCAAAAGGGCGTTAAATGAGCTGTCATAACATTGGACTCCGGCCGAGGGTTATGCAAATTCCTTACAGCCAACCCTTTGGCTGGCCCAATACCAGCTCGGACTAAGCCAAAGACGTTAACACTTCTAACCGGGACCCATTTGTGTTGTTCATTGAACTTGATGGACTTCCCAGGCGTGCGATCAACGGAGCGTAAAAGTTCTTACAAGAAAGCGCCCAGCGCCTAGCTAGGTCGACCGTCGACGAGGCAGGGAGAGCGCTGCTTAGATATGTGCTGTGCCTTTGTGCGGCTTGACAGACAACAGACAACATATGGCTCACATGATGTGATATGTCTGGACATCATATTGTATCATTGGCTAGCGGGGTCACGACGCAGCCGACGAAGCGGTCAGGCGGACTACAACTCTCAGCCAATAACAATAACTATATAGAGCAGGTATTTTCCGACTCGATTTCCTTATGAGCATGTTCTCCGGCCTGTCACACCCTTTTCCGGGACGCCGCCGGGGCTGACCAGCGGACAGTTTTTGAGGCTCGCTCGCGAGCCAAATCCCTGAGACTTGACAAAGGTTGGCCCGTTGCGTTGCGTCCATCGGGGCTTTTCACCTTTTCCTTTCATGTTTTCTTTTATTTATTTTTTTTTTTTTTAATGTGTTTGCCTCTGTTTTCACAGTTTCCCCCCGTCTGTTGTGCTACTTGTCTTGGGCAGTTGCACATTGTTATCAGGTTCTCTAATGATGCGCCTTTGTGCCTGTCATTGTCTGTTGCCCGTCTCTGATTCCCCGTTTCCATTTCCATTTCCATTTCCATTTGCCCGGGTCGACTTTCCGACTCGCCGTCTCATTTAACAAGCAGCTCTTTAATTTTATTTTGATTGAAAGTGAAATGCATGCCTTGCGATGCAACAGTTCGGCTCGACTGCGCGATGGGAAGCTCAAAACGAAATATATGAAATCAAGTTTAATAAATAGCCATAAAAATATATCATAAATATTTTATTATATATAGCCGTAAAACATGAGCAATGGAAATGCTGAATGAAATGTTATATTTTGTCCCTTTTGCATGGCCAATGCAGTCTTGCTTAACTTCGGACTATAAGGTCCGATCCCTATGAAATTCTCAGGTCTTTAATATGACACACAAAGGTGTGTCGCAAGGCGCAAGTCTCTATCTTGGGCAAATTCTACTTTTAAGTCTTGGGCTGGAATGGATTAAGGTATCCAAAAAGTGAAACATTATTCATCTGCATAGACCTACATACCGACTAGCGCTAAGAATTCTCGAGCTATGCTCAAATAATCAAGTCCCAAAAACAAATATCATATCATAACGCACTACAGACAATATTTTATTGTATTCGGGTAGTTATAAAGCAATTCGATGGAACATTTGCAACTCAATTCAATTGGAAAACGCCCCTACAAATCGGACCGAGGCGTTAATAGAGTTTTTCTTTTGTTAACAATAGAAGATGATGATCTCTTATTCGCATTTAACAGAGCGAGGCTTCATTGGAAACCCATTTGATGGCACACTTTTCATTGTGAAAAGCGATCACGAAAATGTGGAAAAGTGGAAAATGGCCATTAAACGCGGGCACACTTTCGGTCTCTAATTGCGATTTAAACGCTCGCGTCGAGTGCCAAAAATTGTCAATTGAAACAACTCGAAAACACACACACACACTCTCACACACACTCGCACACACACACAGTCGCACACAGTGCACCCGCTTGATTTTCGCTGGAAGTGAGAAAAGTCGTCGCTTAACGCACCTTTCGACCCGCACTTTTCTCTCTCAAATTGCCCACTTTTACCCCGGTCAGGTCCTGCGGCACTTTGGTCCCTTTGGACCACGCGCACAGAGAAAAACAGTTGCAAAAACTGCAACAACAATGGACGCTGATCGAGGCGGGCGCACAGGGCAGCGGGCGTCAGAGTCCTGCATGTCCTGTCAGGAAGTCGAACGTCAGGCCGTGCAAATGTCTAAACATGTGCAAATGTGCAAAAAAAAAACACAAGAGTGCTCAAGCCGAAACTGCTCGACTGGCAGTTACCCTACATTTATATATATATATACAAAAAAAAAATGTCTGAATTTCGATAGATATCGATTTTGGGAAAAATTTAAAAAACTAGAGATCTAATCGATATTTATTGCTATCGATTTAAGGAAAATTAAGGAAGTTGTGCAGTTACAGGGATCAAGACCGGAGATCATATTGATACATATCGATTTTGAGGAAATGTGGGAAATTATTGTGGTTAAGACATCTTGAGAAGAGATAAAATCAGAATATAAAATGAGGCAAGGAAAACCGTTCAACAGGAAGCGAGAAACAGAGAGCAAATCTAATTGTTTTAATCTAATTCAAGATTGTCTCAGCTTATCGTCCTGTTGATCCTTGATATCTGTGATATCCATGAATTTGCCGGCTGCTGCTTGTTAAACACAATATACCCTCCCTTGCCATATCCAATTCGTACAGGGTATTTGAACAAACAAGGACTCGCGCCCCGCCAGACTGAGCAGGACAGTTTGAACAGTTAGACGTCGCCTTCGATTGGCATGTCCTGCGGGTCGCTGGCGCTCCTTTCCTGCTGCATTACGTGGGCCCATTAGACGCAGGCGCTAAATATGCATGTCCCATGTCCTTCTCTTTCTCTCTCTTTACCTCTCGCTCTCTCTTTCCCTCTCTCATCAAGGCGAAGACTCTAACTAGCCGTATCCTTCAAGACACAAAAACTCACCTGTTGGCCTCCTGTTTGGGCTCCTGCTAACATTTTTCTGTCTGCTTCATTGTTTCTACTCTTTTTTTGGCCCAATTATTTGACGCTCCAGAGCGAGAGAGAGGGACGGCGAGAGGCAGAGGCTGACCAGACCCAATTTCCAATTGCCAGCAGGTGTAAAGGTCACGTCAACTGGCTCAACGATCTGCCGACCAATTGACCAGGCCACAAATTTGAGCTCAATTTGTACTCAAGCTGAAATTTCAACACGATCACAGCTGAAATATCCAGTGCCAAGACAAGCACAGCTCCAAACAAGATATTGATACCTGAATTACATTTTAATTGGATGAAAAAATTTTAAATTTCTTCATAACTCAAAGACTTTACAGAAAATTCGTATAAAACCAAAACAGGATCCTAAGCCTAACACCAGGAGCCCATGCCTAACTTAAGAGCAAGGATCTGGTTCAAAGTCTGAAATGAAGCAACGACCATATTAATACCCTGGATCCATTAAAAATGGTTAGGCAGGGTAGCATGTTCTTATGCAAAAGTATGTAACGGACAGCAAGAAGCATCCCCGAACCACTAAGTACACATATTCTTCAGCCGGATCGAGCTAACCTTGTCCTTTCGGTTATGCGTCCGAACCTACAAGAGCCGTGCGAATGTGTTTCCGATAATCGATAAATTGCAAGCAAGCAATCGATAAAAATCAATATCGAAAGCTGCTCAAAGATCCGAAGTTTGAATTTATTTACCCTATGTTATACCTTTGGGAGAAGAAGTCGAGCACTTTCGACTAGTAAATTATTTACCATATTAAAAAGGAAGCTTGTCTAAATTCAGAATATTTATCATATGGCATATTTGCCAATTTTCTAGGGTATTATAACTGCGGCAAGCTGTGGAAAACTGTCTCAGCTCGTTGGGAACAAATATATTTGGTTTATTTTTTTGTTCTCTTCTCGGGCTCTGAATGGGGTGTTGGGACCCTTTCTTGCAAGGCGTTGGCTGCGTGCATTTTCTTGATTAGCGCAAATGCGGAAAATTGCAAATGATTCAAATCTAATCCGAACCCATCTCGAACTCATCTGCTTTGAGATCATTTAAATTTTTGCGC